AAGGCAGCAGGCTGAACCCTGCCACTGCCACTGCATGAACATTGGCTCTTACTGCGGTGCCATGTGACAGAGCTGCCCAACTGGGTCAGAGTGTCAGGGAGGCCTCTGCCTGGCGCTGGGTGGGAGCAGCTGCTGGGTGGAGATGCAGCTGTTGCTGCAGACACCTCCAGGTGCACAGAACTGGGCGCCGCTCCCTTCCCTGAGCTTCCCTGGAGGCTCAAGGTGGGGGAGATGTGGGAGGTGCCAGAACCGGGAGGGTGTGGGTCCCTCAGGGGCATCCCTCTCAGGTCACTTGCCAGCCTTGAGTCCCATGCTTGGGGCCTCCCAGGATACTGCTGGCCACACCTGCTGAGCCTGCTTGCCTTCCCGAGTCTGAGTTTCCACAGGGAGCTGCCTGTGGTGGTCCTGGTCTGCAGCCACACAGCCCTGTCACTGTGGAGCTTTTCACATGCCCCATAGCCAGGTCAGAGATGTGGTGAGTATTCCTAGGGGAGAATGTGGCATCTAGACACTCCAGAAGTTTCATCTGAGTTTCCGATGGACAGTGGAGGTTGAGAACCACTGGCCCAGCCTGGCCACGTTGCCTGGCACTTTGTAATCCCAGCACTTTGGGAAGCTGGTGGGAGGATTGCCTGAGGTCAGGAGTTCGAGACCACCCTAGACATTATTGCAAATTCTCTGTCTCTACAAAAAAATTTAAAAAGCCAAGGTGGGAGAATTGCCTGAGGTCAGGGTTCGAGACCACCCTAGACAACACTGCAAGTTCTCTGTCTCTCTATTGTGGGCGGTGCCTATGGTTCAAAGGAGTAGGGCGCCGGCCCCATATACTGGAAGTGGTAGGTTCAAAACCAGCCCTGGCCCAAAACTGCAAAAATAAATAAATAAATAAATAAATAAGTTAAAAAAAAAAAAAGAAGTAGCCTGTTATGGTGGTGTGTATCTATAGTCCCAGCTACTCAGGAGGCCAAAGTAGGAGGATCTCTTGAGCCCATGAGTTTGAGGTTATAGTGAGCTATGATAGTGCTACTATACTCAAGCCTGGGCAATACAGCAAGACCCTATCTCTAAAAACAAACAAATGCAATACGTAAGTTTAAAGTGATCCTCAGATGTCAAGTTTTATGGGATAGGAAAGTTAAATTCAAGATAAGTGTGGGCAACATAGCAAAGGAAAATATTTAAAAATCAGCTGGGTGAGGTTACTATGAGCTATCCACTCCATGCACGCCAGCCTGGGTGACAGAATGAGACTTTGTCTATTAAAAATAAAAAAAGAACCACTGGCCCAGAGGCTCTGAAGAAGGATGTTGGCACTTAGATGAGAACATGCACTGACGTTGTTCACTCTCCCCTGCCTGCATCTCCTTGGCTGCAGAGTGCTGAAGCCCAAGTGTACTCTGGTATTCTCAGAGACACGTGTGTGCCTGAGATGTAACTGATCTGGCCTTTCTACGATGGCTACGGGACTTCTCATCTGTGGCTCTGGCTGAGCCGGCTTTGCCTTTAAGCCCCATCTGACATCTCTGCAGAGGTGGGCGCCCTTGAAGCTAAGGAAGCTGGGGGTTTGCTTTCCCTGGTGGGCCTTTCAAAGTCCTGTTCTTCATTTTATATCAGATTGTACGTTCACTTTGTAAGGGGGGGGGTGCCCCAAATTATGCACAGGCCATTATGATGATATATACAAAAAATTGAGAAAGACAGAATCCATGAGGACAGGACCAAATGAAGCCCTCCCAGTGGCACCGATAAGCAGACAAGTGAAATGTGCACAGGGGAATCAGAGAGGACACTGTTGACTATGTTTCTTGGAAGTGAAATAATGGACCATAACTTAGGCTGTCTCAAAACTTTCATAGTGACCTATGTATAAGCTTCCAGACCCGTGCAACAGAATCTGCATGTGTCCATGCCTGCTGTGACAGGGCACTGAATGCTGGCACTCATGGCTCTGCTGTGCCGATGGCTCTTTGCCCCCTCCCAGTCCTGCCTCGGGGTCAGTTACACTTAGGAAATCTCTGCTGCTCTTGGGCTCTGAACAAAGACCCAGTGGTCTACTGGTGACAGGTCCTTTGAGGTCCCATGAATCCTCCAGATTTGCACGTCCCAAACTGCACTTGCCGTTGCCCCCAGGCGCCTCTTTTCTCCTCCTCTCACGGCACCCTCTCTCCCACATGGTCTGTGAGGAACCCCCACCTTCTTAACGCCTCGGTTCCCTCCTCTCCTCCTGTTACTGAGAAGCCAGCCTCAAGCCCTGCCAGGTGTGGCCTGCACTCCTGTAAATGGTGCCCTGGTTCCCTCCGATCCATCCGCCACACAACTGCTGAAAGGATGGCTCTGTGACAGTGCAGCCCTGACACGGTGCTCCTGTGCGTCAGACCCACTGCAGCTGCACTGCCCACAGAGGATGAAATCCTCTTGGCAGAGCCACCAAGCCTTCCAAGAGCTGGCCATTCTCCTCTCACCCAGGTTCCAGCGTGGATGGCACTGTGTGTCCCCTACCCTGCTGCCACACCATGCTGTCCCCTCACAGTGCTTATCCGGTATCCTGGCCTCCCTTCTGCAGGCTCCCCGCCCTCCCGCCCCCCGCTCCTCCATCTGCAAAACTTACTTGCTCTTTGCTTCCTCCGTGAGGACTTTTCCCCTCCCCTGGCCCCCCTCCTTTAATTTACCACTGACCCTCACACAGACGTCTACTGTGGCACTTAGATCCTGGCTCAGTTATCACACACCTCTCTCCCCCTGAAAGGACGATGCAGGCCTGGAGGAGATAGGATTTACATCTTTAGCTCAGTGCCCAACGCTATGCTTGGCACATAACAGGGCAGGGTACACAATGACCATTTGTTGAATAAATGAAAGGCTGAATGAATGAAGGAGTGACTGAATGATGTCTCTCATAAATCTGTTGTCTTTCAATGAGTAACGGGCTTGGGAATTCCAACTTCTTCTCCAAAGTCCACAGAAACACAAATTATGTTAAGTAACAACACAGTCTTAAGTTAGGGCCAATACCCTGGAAAACTAGATCGACCTTTTAACATTTTAACTTCATCATCCTGGATAAGCTCCACAGACCATTTTAAATTCTCTTATTTGATGATTGGTTATTCACACTTTGGCCTCTTACTTTTCCTTATCTTGAAGCCCATTTTAGAGTCTTATAATGATAGTTAGGATTTGCAGAGCCCTTGCATAAATCAAGTGCTATCTCCGTGACCGCTTCCATCTTCATTAGAATTTCAATTAGAGAAATAAAGAAAGCTTCAACTATTAATAACTTGAACCCCCAAAGTATGAGTACTTGTTAGCAGGTCTTTCAACAAGCTTGGAGGAAGAGGAGATATCAACCCCGGATTTTAATTAACTCTGCTGTAGACCTCACTTATCCGCGTGGGCCTTGGGCCTGCCACCAGGATTTTGTGACTCAGAGACAGTGATTTTCAACCTGTGGGCCTCTGCACACTGGTGTACCAGGAGAGCATCTTAGGTGTGCCTTCAAAAACCTGAAAGACCCTTAATTAAACCATTTCCGAAAGACGTTCAAAAGCCCAATAAGAATATTCTTTTTCTTACCCTTTTTTTTTTGATCAACATAATTTAAGGATGCTGGAAGTTTACATATAGGTTCAAGTGTGCCCCGAGATGAAAAAGGTTGACCAACACCGCTCTAGGAGTATTCTCGGCTTTTGCACGCAGAAAAGACAGGCAGGCAGGTTGAAAAGAAAGAAGAGTTGATGTGAAAAGATGGAGGGAAGAAGAGAGAATGTGAGAAGAAAAGGCGCAGAAAATTAAAAAATGCCTCACGGACAAAAGGCCTGGGGACAAAAAGGATGAAAGAGATAGAGAGACAGAGGTACAAACGCTATGACTGAGCAAATAAAGCAGGAGAAAGTCAGAACACGGGGCCCGATTCATTTCTTATTGCAAATAAAACAGATGCAGAGAGGTGTGGAGACAGTCACACACAGACCCCTCAGAAGAGCCACGTCCTGACCGAACGGTTCCCAGTGAATAATTCCTCTATCGTCTGCGCAGCGTCTTTTCTTAGAATGCAACTGATTTACCGATCAATTGAGTGAAAATCCTTCCCGACATAGGGCCACTCCCCCCTAGCAATTTAATAAAGAAGTTGGCGAAGGCCAGATGTTAACTGGATAGATGATGATCAACTCAGATCAGCGCAGGGTGGGTTTCAATCCTATTCGTGGATAGAAGCAGCTTGGGAAGCAATCGGGGATGACATAATGGCCCGATACCGCGTCCTCTCTGCTAAAGCACATGCGGTTTTGATAGGTTTTTAATACGTATTTCAGGGTTTGAAATACCAGCTCTCTGCTATTCTCTGCCAGAACATCCGAATGACAGCGTTTGCCTCAAAGAGAACTTTTCCATTATAATTTTTCAATTTGTTCTGGTCTGAAAAATGTGTGTAAATGAAAACAGAGAAAATCCAAACTCTGTGCCCCCTTCAAACGTTCCGTTTGGGTCTACCAGGACTTAGCAGGAGTTTCTCTGCTTCCTGTTACTCCCCAGCAAATGGCCGTATTTTCTGATCATTTCTCCTGTGTCAGAAAGAATTTGCCAGTTTTCCAAGAATACCTCTCTCTCTCTCTTTCCTTCTTTTTGACTTTTTTTTTTTTTTAAAGCTCCTCCACTTGCTTCTACCCCATCCTTTGGGAGATCCCAGATGGACCTCAGGACTGAAGAGAAATGTTACCTTGCCCCCCCAAGTTTATACCCCCCCCAGGAAATTAACAAACATGTCAGTCCCCCAAAAGTTCTTCTGCCCATCTGCTGTGGGGTTACTGGAGCCAGTCATCTTACTCTAAGTAATTACAACAGCTTAGGTTTCCTTAGAGACAGGGAGACAAAATATTTATCCCAGAGAAGTCACAGCGGATTACTGTGCAGTAATTTGTGTACACTTAAATTAGCAGGTGAAGGATGAGCCCGGGGGCTCGATCTGACATCCATTAAACATGCACACGAGTCCACCTTACCTTCCTGGGCTTCACCTTGTCGTGGTAGTCATACTGGAAGATTCCTTTGTAGCTCAGGCCCAGCCACCACGGGATACCCTGCTTGTCCTAGGACAGCAAAAGGAACGTGAGTAATCACGGACCAGAGAAGGTAAACACCAACCAAGGAGATTCTCCGCCCAGCTGAAGCCAAGGGGAGAGTGATTTCCTTGGAATCCTTCCGAGCCCACCCGTCTGCTTTTCACGTTAACACGTGTACTCGTTATTTCAGGGTGCTCAGTTAGGTGAACAGGGGGACATGGAAAGTCCCCAGGGTTAGGGGGCTGGGCTGTGTTCCCTACCAGGCACACAGAGTCTCTTCTCCTTTATATTAATAATAAAGAGCCGGGGGGAAAGGAGTGAGTACCCTGTTCTTTTTTTTTTTTTCCAAGAATTTAAGCTTTCCATGCCAGGCCCTTCACTCACCACCAAGGAAAATTTGAGAGATGTTGCACATTCTTATAAAAGGACTTCTGAGCAGAGAAACTATCATCGGCTGTCAGAGCTAGAGGGTCTGTGGACACGATGGAAAGTGATTTCTCTCATTTTAAGGACAAATCAAAGCGAAGAGCTATCCCAGTTTTACTCAGGACCCTCCCCATCCCCAGGAAGCCAATGGTAGCACAGGCTGGAAGGTGCCGCCTGCCCTGGACTCCAGGTAACTCAAGAGCACAGTGCCCCCGCCCTGGATCCAGCTAACTCAAGAGCACAGTGCCCCTGCCCTGGATCCAACTAACTCAAGAGCCTGGGTGCCAGGCAGGACAAGGCTGCAAAATGGCAGGACTGAGTTGAAAACACCAAGTCCCTGCTCATTCCTTTAAACAGAGGCCTCTCCTCCCCTGAGTGTAAATTGCAATTCTACATTCAAATAGATTCTGAGTTGCTAATGAAAGCTGCCAACTGCCCGGTTTTACACTGGGCTCACCAGGCAGCTTTCTTCTGGCTCTGTCCTACCTGCCACGTCGCTGAACGAGCTAATACATGGGTGTCCTAAAAACTCAAAACTGGCACAATAGTTTTGAAATATTTGTGGGTGTGAGTTATTTCAAGGTGAGCACAAGGAGAAAAGGCAAAGTGACACATTTCGAAAAAGTTTTTCAAGCTCCAGGGTACTTGATTTTGTTAAAATATTTTAAAGGTAGTATAAAATCCGTATTGTAAACCCTGGTCTCTAGGAAATACCTGTGTGCGGTGCAATGGTTTCAGAGAGTGGAATGAAAGGGAAACCCTACACCAGTGCAACATCCGATGGACCAGATAAGTGCTGTGATTACACCAGGAATAGGGCATCAGTGTGACCCCAAGGCCGCCAAACAGTGAGACTGATGTAACTGGGTCAGACTTGCTTGGACTCCAGAGAGATTGCTTACATTTCCAGATTCCAAGAGTCAAACTTGGCACTTTGAAAATCACAAGCCATGCTTCTGGGTCTCTCACCAACTGAGATATGTGTGCATTTCTAAGGCTTTCTTAGGAGGCAGAAAGCATACATGTGTATATATCAGAGATCACTTTTTTGTTAAGTTCTAAGGCTGACAAAGGACCTCAGGGCTAAGCAAGCTGAAAGACCAGATGAAGTTTCCTGCACCTCAAACAGTCATCTGATATTCAAAACACTTTCTTAGGGGTAGTCGGGGAGCCAGGTGTCTTAATTTCTCTGTTAATCATCAGAGATGGGAGTGAGCTAAAACTTAGGACAACCAACAACACAGAAAACACAGGCCAGGAATTCCTAAGTTCCTGGTTCCCATTCTTGAAATGCAAACTTCTTGGCTATACATCACCATGGAGTGATTTCCACAAGTAAGAGAAAAACTCATAGTTTAATTTCTATGAAATGCCTCCAAATGGCTGGAGGCAAAATAGAATGGGCTGCATGGTTCTCCCCAGTGGTGTCGCTAACGCTGGTGGCCAGCCCTGCTCAAGCTGGGTCTCTTCTCATGAACAACTGGATTTCCTTTGGGGGAGCTGACTGATCCCCTACTACAGTGGGGTCAAATGGTCACATGCCAGGCACAAGCTCACCTAGGGGTAAGCTTCTTAGAGGACCCCGCTTTCTAACATGGGACAGGAAAGGACCCAGAAGGCCAGGTCACACAGCTCATGACAAACTATAGCTTAGGCTTAAGAAGGACAGGCTGGCTGTGATGGTTGTATGAGTTCTTAGAACAATGCAGAAGAAAGATTCAAGGCTTCCATAGGTGAGAGGAACTTTGGCAGGACATCAGGGGAAATTTAACCATTGCTGGTGTTCAATGACCCTGAGCCAAGCTATGGGATGACACTGGCCCCTCGCATGCCTCATAGCTCTGTCTCCACAACTGCAGTCGGACATCTGTTCCCACCCTGGAAATTTGTATGTCCAATGATTCCATTCGATGATCAAGGAACATCTACTTGCTAAATATTTACTGGCTGGGCATCTCCTACATGTCAGGCATTATGGTGGGTTCTGGGAATACATGACAGAATACAGCACATCATCTTTGCCATCAACACCTGCAGTTTAGCAGACGACATGGGCAGTTCAGTGCACACCAATGGCAAGAAATGTTATCCCAGCTGCCACGGTTTGCGCAAAATGAACAAAACATGTTCTAGTCCAAAGGAACGAAAAACAGACTTGGTGGAAACCAGGAGAAAGATACTGGTGGAAGAGGAGGAGAATCTTAGGTGGAACTGTCTTGAGCTCAGAAGCATCTTCTGCTCTTTTTTGGCTGCACTCTGGGTGATGACTAGGTTAACACTTCTCATGAAGGGTCAATTAAGGAAGGAGAAGGAAAGGAATTTGCCCTTCGGGGGGGCATTTTTATTTATTATTTCAAATAAGACATCTCAATCTGGAACATTATGGACAAAATAAAAGAGAATTTAGAATGAGGTCAAAGTCGGCATTGGACTTGGTATTTATCGTATAACACAATATTTAAGACAGATCTCATCTTCATAAATGGTCACGTACTCAAATTTGTCAGCCTGTACACTGCCTGTATTCCCAGTCCTTCTCCTGTAAATCTGCCTTGGTGGTGTTTGACCACCATGGAAAACAGTGGATTCTGCTGAAAGTTCTTGTTTTCCACAGTTCCTAATATAGATGGAGTCTTCCTAATGAGGTGCTCTGTGGTCTCATCTGCCAAGTCTTCAGAGACCAAAAGGAAGCTGGGGTTTATCATGTGACTTCACAGAAGGGAACATGAGCTTTGGAGAGTGACTGTGGAGAGTCTTACTGCACTGGGGGAAATGCAGACGCCCAGCTCCTCTCACCAGGCACTCCTCCTGCCAGGTCCTCCCCCATCCCCATTCCCACCAAAAACAATCTGCAGTATGATCAAAAAGAAAAAAAAATGAGAAGTTTTTGTTTGTTTGCTTTTATGGTTTTTTTTTTTTTGAGACGGAGTCTCACTCTGTCACCCTGGGTAGAGGAGTGCCATGGCATCATCATAGCTCACAGCAACCTGAAAATCTTGGGCTCAAGGGATCCTCTTGCCTTAGCCTCCAGAGTAGCTGAGACTTTAGGCACCTGCTTCCACGCCTGGTTATTTTTTCTATTTTTAGTAGAGACAGGGTCTTGCTCTTGCTCAGGCTGGTTGGGAACTCCTGAGCTCAAGAGCTCAAGCAATCCACCTGCCTTGGCCTCCCAGAGTGATAGGATTACAGGCATGAGCCACTAGGCCTGTTTGTTTTTTTTCTTTTTAGAGCAGTCTTGGCAACCTTTGGCAAATGAACTCACTTACCTTCACTGCATAGTAGTGAACCCCGTAGGTCGGGAGGGACTCCACGATGCTCATGTAGCTGGGAAGACAACGCCCACGGGCTGTTACTTGGCAGAACTGGGATCATATAAATATATATATATTTTCTTGTATATGTGATAAAGTTCTCAGAGTGATTATTTACGAGGAAATTAAATTGAAACATATATCCCCTTCCGCCCCTCCCCCCACCCCAAGATAATCTCTTTCTAAGGAGAAAGGGACAATCCTGATAGATGTATTGACACCCACAAAGACAATCTCCATGAGTGCTGGGAGGGGCCACTTACTTCACGATCGCTTGACCTCTTGTCTGGCCGTTCAGTTTCTTATAGTGCTCAATTACTCTGTCTTCACTAGAAGGAGAAGAACACAATTGTTAGGAGAGTCCCAAGGTCAGTGGCCAAGCACGTTGCCAGTACCACCTTCTGAGCCTGAGAGTTCACAAGCAGCTCTGATTTCTCTGGGGACACAGGACGGCTCCTTCAGCCACAGCCACCTCGCTCTGTTTTCACTTTGGACACCTCAGTTAGGTAGGGTGACCTGTTGGCCTTAACGATGTGTCCCCATTCATGACATCCTGAAGGAACAAATGTGAGCTTTTCTGACATTAAAGATCTTGGAAAAGAAACCAGATGTACATCGATCACAATGAAACAGAACCGTCAATGGTGTGGTGGCTCATACCTGTAATCCTAGCATTCTGGGAGGCCGAGAAGGGTAGATTGTTTGAGCTCAGGCATTCCAGACCAGCCTGAGCAAGAGCGAGGCGGACTCCATCTCTACTAGAAATAGAAAAACTAGCCGGGCATAGTGGTACATGCCTGTAATCCCAGCTACTCGGGGGCAAGAGGATTGCTTGAGCCCAAGAGTTGAGGTTGCTGTGAGCTATGATGATGCCATGGCACATTACCCAGGGTGATAGAGTGAGACTTTATCTCAAAAAAAAAAAAAATCACTTTTACTTTTAACTGTGATGTGGTGAATAAGGCTAAGAGCCTAAGCACAGTTTAAGTGCGCCCTCCTCTTAGGGCCTCTCAAGGCTGACATCCGGTGTTGGTGAGACTGTTCCCACATGCAGTCTGACTGGAGAAGAGTCCACTTCTAAGCTCACTCAGGCTTTCAGAGAGTTTGATGTGGAGCGTGACGGCCAAATAGAATCCTCCGCACAAACACTAACTTTAACAACTACCCATATCTGAGTGGGAAAACCAAACATCAGAACCTAAAATCAGCCGAGCAATCATACACTTGGTTTTAACCTTGTATCAAGGCAAGAGGCCCGAGGCGGGCAGAGCAGACGGGCTTGCATTGCCTATGCCACCCCTCCCTACCTCCAGCCAAAGTGGAGAGAGCATCTGTGTGCCCAGGGGAGGGAGAGTGAATTGACTGTGGGACTCTGCATTGAAACTCAGGGCCAGCCTGGCACAGGGGAACACAGCATAGGCAGAATGCTGCCGGTTGCCACCAAGGGGGTATCTAGACCACCCTAGCCAGAGGGTAATCCTGTTATCCTTTTTTCTTTTTCTATTTTTTGCAGCTTTTTGGCTGGGGCTGGGTTTGAACTCGCCACCTCCAGTATATGGGGCTGGTGTCCTACTCCTTGAGCCACAGGCACCGCCTCCTGTTATCCCTTTTAAAACCCAAATTCCTGCTAGCTCCACCACCGGCTGGCAAAAAGTGGCCTGGAGCTTGGACTATATTTTTAAGGCAGTAGGGCCACAAAGGCTACAGTCCTTGGGCAATTCCTGTGGCTGTGCTGTTTCACAGCCCTGAACTTGGGGTGCTCATGTTACCCAGTGAGATTCAGTAAGATGGCCAAGCCAGTGCCTGGGTCCCTTTCCCCAACTCCAGGCAATGAGGGTGAGGGAGAGTCTTCTTCCACTTGGGGAGAGGAAAAGGAAGAGCTCAGAAGACTTTGTTTTGCAACATGGGTACCAGCTCAGCCACAGCAAACAGCAAAATAAAGCAGAAGCAGATGCCTGAAGCCCTGATTTCAGGCCTCAGGTCCTGGAAGGCATCTGGACCCACTGGCCTAGAAGGAACATGCTCCCTGGAAGGGAAGGATCCCATCCTGGCAGGATTCACCACCTGCTGACTAAAGAGCCCTTGGGCAGGGAATAAATACCTGAGGTAGCCAGGTAATAGTCACCGTCGCCTTTAGGTGAGACTGGGCTGGCTTCAAGTGTGACCTGGCACTGGTGGCCTTAAGGGAGAACCTACATCACTCCTCCCTCAACCCCAGCAGCCCATCACAGAGTGAGAGACTTTGCCTGGTAATCCAGGGAATTCTCCTGTATCTTACCAAAGCTCACCAAGGTGGTACCACCAGGAGTCTGCCATAGTCACAGTATTATTAGGCTTGGGACGCCCCCAGTGCTGACACAGCTGCAGTGACCAGAGATTTTGGTCACAACATTGAATTCCCTTTGAATATCTGGAAAGACTTCTTAAGAAGAATGGGTTCAAACAAGCTCAGACGCAGAAGATTAAAATAAATACCTAACTCTTCATTACCCAGACATCAGCTGATATCCACAAGCATCGACAACACCCAGAAAGACATGACCTCACTTAACAAACTACAGAAGGTGTCTATGACCAGTACTGGAGTGATGGAGAGATGAGACCTTTCAGATAAAGAAGTTGAAATAGCTGTCCCGATGAAGCTCAATGAACTTCAGGAGACACAGAGAAGTCATTCAGCAGCTTGTCAGAGTAATTTAACAAGGAGACTGAAATAATAAAAACAAACCAAGCAAAAATTCTGGAGCTCAAGAATTCAACTGGCAAACTGAGAAACAAACCAGAGTCTCTCATCAGCACAACTGACCAAGTAGAAGAAAGAATAGTGATCTTGAGGACAGACTACTTAAAAATACAGTCAGAAGAGAAAAAAGAAAAAGAATAAAAAAAGAATGAAGTAAAAATAAAAATGAAGTAAACCTAAAAGATTTAGGAAATAGCCCCAAAGGGGAAAATCTAAGAGTTTCTGGCCTTAAAGAAAAGATAGATTGGTACAGAAAGTTTACTCAAAGAAATAGTAACAGGACTTTCCAAGCCTAGAGAAAGATATCAATATTCAGGACCAAGCAGATTTAAGCCAAAGAAGACTACCTCAAGATATTTAATAATCAAGTCCCAAAGGTCACTGATAAAGAAAAGGTCTTAAGGGAAGAAGCAAGAAGAAAAACAAACAGCAACAACAAAACCATATAAATGAGCTATGATCCATCTGGCAGCAGACTTCTCAGTGGAAACCACACTTAGGAATGATAAAAAAAATCATCGCAGGTAACAGCTCATGGGTACAGTAAGCCACAAATACAGAGTACTCTATTGCTACAACTGCAGTGCATAAACCACTTATATTTTGAGTAGGAAGATTAAACAACGAATGTATCAAAGACATAATAATTGTTGAAGACCCCAACACTTTACTTTCAGCATTGGATGGATCATCCGGATAGAAAATCAATAAACACTAGACTTAATCTCCCCTATAGGCCAAATGGATCTGATAGATATGGACAGAATGTTTCATCCAACAGCAGCAGAACATCCTTCTCCTCTGCTCACGGATCAAGGAGAGACCATATGCTGGACCACAAAACGCGTCTTAAAAACATTCAACAAAATTGAAATCATACCAAATGTTTTCTTTGGCTACAATGGAAAACTAGAAATCAACAACAGTAACGGTGGAAAACACACAAACACACGGAAATCAAACGACATGCCCCTGAATGACCAGTTGGTGAATGAAGAGATTGAGAAAAAAATGAAAAAATTTCCCAAATGGAAATGAACACATAACATATCAAAACCTACGGGATACAGTAAAAACAGTAATAAGAGGAACGTTTACAGCAGTAAGTGCCTACATCAACAAAGGAGAGAAACTTCAAATAAACAACCTGACAGTGCATCTCAAAGAACTAGAAAAATAAAAGCAAACCAAACCCCAAGCTAGTAGAAGAAACATTAAATATCAGAGCAGAATAAATGATATTGGAAAAAAAATACCAAGGATCAGCAAAACAAAAAATCAATTTTTTCAAAAAGAGAAACAAAATTGATACACCTTTAGCCACACTAAGAAAAAAGAGAAACGACTCAAATAAATAAAATCAGAGATGAAAGAGACATTACAGTTGAAACTGCAGAAATCCAAAGGATTGTTAGAAACTACTATGAGCGACTATATGCCCATAAATTGGAAAATCTAGAAGAAATGGATAAATTCCTAGACACATATAACCTACAACTATCGAACTAAGAAGAAATCTAAAACCTGAATAAATCAATAACAAGTACTGACGTGGAAGAAGTAGATAAAAAATTTCTGGGTGGCATCTGTGGCTCAGAAGAGTAAAGTGCCGGCCCCATATGCCAGAGGTGGCGGGTTCAAACCCAGCCCTGGCCAAAAACTGTAAAAAAAAAAAAAAAAATTCTCAGGAAATAGAAGCCTAGGACCAGTGGCTTCACTTCTGAATTTTATCAAGCAAAGAACTGATACCAATCCTACTTAGACTATTCCTAAAATCAAGCAGAGAATACTCCCAAAATCATTCTATGAGACCTGAATCACCCTGATAACCAATACCAGACAAAGCTGTAACAAGAAACACAACAACAACAACAAAAGCATAGGCCAATATCTCTAAAGAATATAGATGCAAAAATCCTCAACAAAATGGTAACACTAACAAACTAAATTCAATAACACACTAAGAAGATTATTCATCATGATCAAGAGGGATTTATCCCAGGAATGTAAGGATGGCTCAACATGCACAAATCAATCAATGTGATACATCATATCAACAGAATGAAGGACAAAACCACAGGCTCATTTCAACTGATGCTTAAAAAGCATTTGATAAAATTCAATGTATCTTCATGATAAAAACTCTCAAAAAACTGTGTATAGAAGGACCTTACCTCAACATGATAAAAGCCATACACGTCAGGCCTGCAGCTAGTATCATATTGAATCAGAAAAAAACAGCAAGCCTTTCCTCTAAGGCTCGTTCTAGAACAGGACATTCTAGCACTGGAAGTCCTAGCTAGAGCAATCAGTAAGAGAAAGAAAGAAAGGGTATCCAAATTGGAAAGGAAGAAGCCAAATGATCCTTGTTTGCAGATGATATATACTATGATTTTATATCTAGGGAAGACTAAAGACACCACAAGAAAACTATTAGAACTGATAATTCAGTGAAGTTGCAGGATACAAAATCAATATTTAATACAAACACAAATAGCATTTTTATATGCCAACAGTAAACAATCTGAAAAGGAAAGTAATCACATTTACCATAGCTCAGAATAAAATAAATTACCAAGAAAGTAAATCCATTTAACAATAACTCCAAATAAAGTAAAATACCTAGGAATACACTTAACCAAAGAAGTGAAAGTTCTCTATAATGAAAAAATTCATTGTTCACTGAAAGAAATTGAAGAGGACACACAAAAAGGAAAGATATTCCAAGCTTATGAATTGGAAGAATCAATATTGTTACACTGTCCATACTACCCATGCGATATATAGATTCAACGCAATCCCCATCAAAATACCAATGACATTCTTCACAGAAAAAAATGTCTAAATTTTATATGAAACCACAGAAGACCCAGAATAGCCAAAGGGGCCTTGAAAAAAGAACCAAAGTAGAGGATTTACATTACCTGACTTCAAATTATACTGCAGAGCCCTAGTAACCCAAACAGCATGGTATTGGCATAAAACCAGACAGACCAAAAGAACAGTCTCACTCTGCTGCCCCCTCCTCCTCACCACAGGCAATGTGGCCCTGACTACACTCTGTCCAAGCTCCAAGAAGGGAGGTGACCCTTGTATGGTCTTTCTGGACCTCCCTAGTGGATCTTTATTACCAAGTATTATTTTACTATCCCAGGATCTAGCTGAAGCCTTCCCCCTTCCACCTTTTCCTGTTTTCACTTTCAGCAAGGCCAGCTCGAGAATGACAGTTCTCTATGTTCACTATCTAGTCCCTGGGGGTAATTTATTTATCTTTCAACTACTATCTTAATCTTCAACGAATGTCATTTAATTTTAGTATTCTGAAAGAACTCAGAACTGGCCAGGGGCCTCTCTGCACTTGGAGAGTCACTTGTGTGGGGTCTGGGCACCCTCCATTAGGAATGGGACAGATCCTGCCATGTGTCTGTTTGGCTCTCATGTGCTGCGGAAGTTCTGCTTCTAGTGTGATGATGTCCCTCCCTGACAGCTCCTGGGGAGTGTCTTCTCCAGGGCTGGGCACTGGCTGGGGGTCACCTTCAGCGGGGTGGCAAGAGGTTTGGGGACTGTGCTGCTTACTGCCTCCCCACAGAGGCCCACGCTGAATCAACAGCTGCGCTGGTGCGTTTCCTATCTCATGATCTGGGGTTTTGTGAGGTCGGCTCCTAGATCTGGGGTCATGCAACTCCATATAGACAGGAGCTGCTTCCTTTGTGGCTCTGGGGAGAATCTTTAGGGTTGGTGGGTAAGCGGAAGTCAATCCAGCAGAACTCCATGGCTGACCATCCCCCTACACTGACCACCTCCCCACACAGACCACCTGCCTACACTGACTACCCTCTACACTGACCACCTGCTCATATCGAACACCTCCCTACAGTGATCACCTCCCCACACTGACCACTACTGACCACTACCCCCTACATTGACCACCTCCCAATACTGACCACTCCCTACACTGACCACCCTTCTATACTGGCCACCCCTCTACACTGACCACCTTCCTACACTGACCACCTCCTATACTGACCATCTCCCCACACTAACCACCCCCCATACTGACCAGTAATCCGTGTATTTCAGAAAGCGTGTACAGAAGCGCTCACACAAGTCACGGGTGGCAATGTGGTGGGAGCGACTTGTTCTTTGTGTCTAGTTTTGTTTTAATAAAAGCAGATAAAATGATTTTTGTTAAGGAGTCAGGAAGATGCCAGAGAAATAGAATTGTTCTTGTCACAGGGCAGCGGCCAGGGCTCAGGAGCCTGGCACACTTGAATGTGTGCCCCAGGAATGTGAGCCCCGCTCAGTTGTGGCCCAGACTGCGATCTGGGAACCTTTCAAACGCCTGAATCATTCAGAACCAGTCATTTAGGGCCGACAGATGAACGAGGGCGTCATGTTACATGGCAGCTAAATCAGGAGCTACGGGACACTGCGGGAAATAAGAGAATCCCTCTCTTTTGCAAAGAAAAAACAAAACAAAACAAACCCTGTGGTTCTCCCACATCTCAAAACCCCATAGATCCTGTCGTCAAACGACAGGGGCTCCAGAATGAAACTCGAGTAGGACATAAAAGGCTCCCAAAGAAGGCACAACTTCCAAAGTGAAATTCTAGAAGGTTTTGGTTTTTTTTTTTTTTTAAATTAAAATCAACAGAAAAGGAGAGGTCTCACACACAACACATCATTTCAATACATGCCGAAGCCAGTTTCACGAAGACACAGGGGGCTTCTTGCGCTTGGCAGCCCGGAGGACCCATGAGAGCCAGCAGAGGTTGGACGCAGCTGTCTTGGGTGCCCCCCACGTGCCCTGGGATGGGTTCCTTCCTAGAGGACACCCCGGGGGTCTTACCAGTAGGCCAGGGAAGGGTGCTCCTTCAGGGCTTGGGTGGGAAGGGCGGGCAGTTTCTTCAAGTCGCTCCGTACCACTTCGTTACTGAAAGAGCAAACATCCAATTGTCACCCTTGGAGAAAACCCCCACCTTCTCTGCCGTGGCCTGGCCCGTCGGACTTGTCCCAATGCCCCCACATCTGTTCCCTTTTAATGAAAAGTGGTCGGTGGAAGGAGTGTTCTCTTTTATTTATTGACTTAATATAGATGAAAAAGAAAACACAGCACCCAGAGCTGAGCTGCCACTTCTCACGGGGCAGAGGGCAGGGCAGGCACCCAGGACCAAGGTGCCTTTCCCAAGGCTGTCTCCAACGGGGGCACAGCCTGAGTGCCCCAGGCAGCCCTCAGCAGGAATGGCAGGAATGGGGAGGAGAAGGGTCTCAGGGGTCCCCCTGAGGACCCCAGGACAAGCTCCCCAGTACCCCCACTTAGGTGCACAGAGTTCGAGAACAGGCACCGTCACTGCTTCCTGCTGAGAGCCATTCCCCTCGCTGATACCCAGCGCCATTTTCTTTGGTTAGATTGATCGCTTGCTGGAAACTGGCTTCTGTAATATGGCGAATAAACACAGGTTGAGTTTCCCGCATCTGAAACGCTTAGGAGCAGATATATTTTGGATTTCTTTTAATTTTGATTTTTGGAATATTTACATTATATACCTATAGGTTGAGCATCCCCAAATCTGAAAATCTGAAGAAACCTGGGAATCCCCAACCTGAAGTGCTCCAGTGAGCGCTTCCTTCAAGTGGCATGTGGGCACTCAAAAAAGTTGAGCAACTACTCTCTCCCTCCAGAGCCACGGGGAGCATCCACGGGGGATGATTATGGTATTGAAAGAGCATCTCCCTGTACTGGTCCACCAAGGAGCCTCGGCGGGGGGTTGCAAAGGGGGATCATGGGGCTTTGCTTCTGGCCACTAGCTCTGCCCTGGGCCATGCTAGCCGCTTCTGTGTTGCTTATACAAAGCCAGGCAAATACCGGCCACCAGGACATGAGAAGTACCACCCCCCAAACAGTAAGACGGGAGCTCAATAAACAAACACGTGGATGGGAGGAACACTCCAGTCACAGGCGGGGTATTCCCGAGGCATCCTGATGGTGGACACTCCAACAACCACCATGCAGGGCACTGGCGGATGTATCATTCCACATGTCCCAGGTGGACACACTGCCAGTGGCAATGAGATCAGCTCCACCACTGGAAACACAGCGCCCACTGGGCAAAACCATACCAGTACTTTGAGTTTGTTTGTTTGATGACAAAGAAACACATCGAGATTCAGCAACATCACAGCTGCTCCCGGGTTGGGGGCATTTTGGAAGTGCCTAGAGAAGCGACCAACGTGGCATTTGTGAATCCTGACTGCAAATGACCATGTGTAATCGTTTGAATCAACACACCCAAGTACTTGGACTGTTACCTTCTAAGTGGCAAGGCAAGGATTTATCAGAAAATAATCAAGAAACCAAAGGCATTTATGGAGCTCCTGTGATGATATGGAAAGTATTATAGGGGGATACAAAAAAATGATGAGACAGTCCTTACACCAAAGGCGCTCACAATTTAGCAGGGGGTAGGGGTGCACCAGCAAAGCTAGGTGACCACACAGGCAGTGTCTGGTCATGTCAGTTCAAACAACAAATGTGAAAGTTCAGAGGAAATAAGGACCCTTTGGGCTCTGGTGCAAGGCTTTGTGGGAGGCTCAGGATGAAGAAAAGGGTGGGAATATCATCTTTCCCCCAAATAGAACACTCCACATCGTGGAGGCCATGTAACTGGAAGTGACAAAATTGGGTAAAATGAGTGACACATAAATGACCTTCGAAGTCAGCCTGGAGGTTCAAGTTGATCCAGGAGGCAATGGGTTAGCTACTGTAGGCTTTTAAACAGGTAACGCCTGGTCCTTAGAAAAATTCCATTGCCAAGTACGTTTTAGGATTTCTACCCAGAATGCTATGATAGTACAGTTTAAGGGAATATTCAGTTCGCCAACCACTTGAGAACCCACAATGGTGAACCTCTGGACCTTCCCTCCCTACTGGACTACAAGTTCCCCGAGAAAAAGGAGCTGGCTTATTGGTTCTTGCCGCCAGCGCGCTGCCTTCAATGGGAAAGGCGCTTTCATCAGATAAATCTGTTGGATGAAACCATGAGAAGGGCAATTAGTGGCTCCTTTATTGAGCAGAAACTTGAGTTGGGGTTTGCTCACACCCATCACGTCTAAAGTATATTTGGGGAAGGAAGGAACGAAGGGAGGAAGAGATCGTTTTACCCACCCCAATCCTCGTTTGTTGGCAAACAAGTCTCCCTGGTGACAGCCCCAGGTTTGATTTCCCTGTGGCAGCCTGCCCTGTGTTCCCTAGTTCTCCTCCGGGGCAGGGTTACACAGAAAATCAGAACAAAAAATCACCAAGGTGTGAAGCCGGCCACAGCCATTATATTCTGGAAGGGATCCACGGCCCTTCATCCTTCCCGAAGGACAGATATGTACAAACGTTCTATTTGCTTTCCTGCTCTTATAAAACATCTGCAATAACTTAGAGGCGTCCAGCTTGGTCAACCTGGCTGAAAATCAGAAAAAGCCCTGATGGGAACCTTGGTCACTCTGTTGCCAGAAGCTTGTGAGGTTACAATCTAATAAATGTCCTTGAAGTCCCCGGTTTCCTACTTCAACATCTGCCACTTGGACGTTTTCCCCAGAGTTCACTGTCACTGATAAATACTAACAGGGCATAGTGATCATACTCCATTTTTAGGAAGAAGCCAAAAGTTCTCTTAGAGAGCAGGTCTGAAGGTAAAATTCAAGTCTTCTTGTATTGATAAGATTTTAATATTAATATGAGCAAGATTTCAATCAAATCTTTTAGGTAGCTGTTACTGTTGCCAGGAAAAAAGTGGTACTATGTTTCCTGAAAATAAGACACTGTCTTGTATTTATTTTTTCTCAAGAAGACACACTAGGGCTTATTTTCGGGGGATATCTTTTTTTTCTTTCTGCAGTTTTTGGCTGGGGCTGGGTTTGAACCTGCCACCTCCAGCATATGGGGCCAGTGCCCTACTCCTTTGAGCCACAGGCGCTGCCCAGGATGTCATATTTTTATTAAGTATAAAACAATCTACATTTATTCAAATACAGTTAAGTCATCTTCTTCTGGAACCTGACAGGAGGAACCAACCTTGTTGGTAGGGCTGGCGCTAGTGATGCCTGAACTCCTTTCCCCTAGCCATTGGCATGTGCACAATAGGATGCCTGTGACCTTGGTTACCACACGTGCACTGGGGCAAAGTGTGAAGGGCTCGGAGAAAGGAGCTGTGGCAGATAAAAGGTATCCCAGTCTTCCTTACCGCTCCCCCCGGAAATGCAAGGTGTGGTTATGCAGATACAATACATAGCCACGCCCATCACTAGGTCTTATTACCGGGGTAGGGCTTATATTTAACAAATGCACAGAAATCCTGCTAGGGCTTATTTTGAGGGTAGGTCTTATATTCAGGGAAACATGGGTATGTCAATGGTGTGTTGATCCTTGATTCAGGTTGTTTTTGTTTTCTGAGCTTGTAACACATGGGATGATAGAATGTCCTATTGGGAAAAACCAAAGATTTCTAGCAATGCATCAAACAGAGAATTTGCCATAGTGAACAACAACAAATTTAACCAAGAGACCATAATGTAAGGAAAGCAAAAAGGGTTTTGAAAGAGAAGGATTAGCAAAATTCACAATGTGTTTGTCCCCCTTTAAAATAATAGGAAGTAAAGCTGGGCACAGTAGCTCACCCGCTTAATCCTAGCACTCAGGGAGGGTGAGGTGGATGGATCCCTGGAGCTCAGAAGTTGGAGATCTGCCTGAGCAAGGGCAATGTCCCCATCCCTACTAAAAATGGAAAAATTAGCCAGATATGGTGGTGCATGACTATAGTCCCAGCTACTGGGAAGGCCGAGGCAGCAGGGTCACTTGAGCCCAGGACTTTGAGGTTGCTGTAAGCTATGACATGATGGTGCTCTACCCAGGATGACAAGTCACAAAAAAACCAAACCAAACCAAACAAAAAAGGAAATAACTTTTTCAAGAAATTCCCTCTGGGTAAAATGAAATGTCTGTAATTTGTGGGAGAAATCTGGGGCAAATAGACCATGTTTACTATGGAAGAATTCTTTCTGAAACAGCAGTTTTGATCTGCACTGGCCTCAAAATAACTGGAGGCTAAACCCAGAAATGATAACCGGAAACTCAGAAACAGAGCTATGATGCCAGCATCGGACTAACGCCTCCATATTTTATGAGAGAATCATCAAAGGTAAAGTTCTCTGGGAAGAGCTATTTCTTAAGGGAAAAAGAGTGTGACGGGTCCTCCATTTTTATTCACAATTCCAAAGTCCAAAAAGCTCTGGGAAATAAAGTTTTCTTCACCTCTTTGGTGGCAGACGCAAACTTTTTGCATGAGGCCACGTGTGACTGCCTTTCTCCCGCTTGCTGTGAACATCCTCGATGCCTCTGATTAAGCGCTAGCCCAGAACCTGCCCAAGGGGAGGTGCTAAACTCCCTGCCTTAAAACCTGATAAATTCTGATTTCGGAAACATGGGGACCCTAAAGTTTCAGACAAGCCTTGTGGATCTGTGTTCCTTTATTACATCGTACTATAACCTGAAAACTCTGAGACAGATTAATAGGGGATGTTCCAGATTTTTGTTCTTTGTCGATCTTGAAAAATCATGTAGGAAATAATCTTTTACTTCCCTTTCCTTCCTCCTCCTTTTATTTTTGTGAACCAAGGCAAAGTTGGGTTATAATGAGACCGCCTGCCTTTCTCTCTTTGTCACTTTTTTCCCCAGGTGTGTAGGGAGGACTCCGTGAAGCTCACGGCTTGGGAAATGTTACAGGGGTCTTCCACCATTGGACGGGGCCCCACCTGTCTAAGAAACTTCTCCTGCCATTGCATTTGACCATTTGCAGACAACAGGAAGCACCCGGGGTCCCTCAGTGGTTTCTCCAGCATAGGATGCTGGATTCTGGGCGTGTCTCATAGATGAATATGTCACAC